GTTTCTCTCATATCCTTCATTGCTTGCTGTAGACTCCTACTGGCACTCTCTCCTTTCTTTAGGTGTGAATAGAATTTCACCATAAAGAACATAGTAGCTTGGTCATCAATGGCCCACAAGGACGCTACAACGGCACGGGCTCCTGCAGCAAGAAATGCTCGAGTCATTCCAACTACACCTTCTGCTTTGATCTCACCTCGACCACTATGGCAACAGCTGAGTACAACAAGTTTGGCACGAACTCCACTTTCCTGTGCTTCCTTCATTGTCAAGATGTAGTCCTTCTCTTCTGGGGTAGCTGTGCTCGATGGTGAAGGTTTAGAAGGGGTCAGGAAAATCTCTCCATTTCTTGCACTGCCATGAGCAGCAAAGTGAATAACAGATACACCATGTTGTAGTTTGCTTAAAACAGCTTCTTTTGTTGCCTTCTCTCCTATCAATGGTTCTACTCCGAGTAGTTTTCCGATCTCTATGGCTTCCTCTCTTGCACCAGACAAAGGATAGATATCTCTCTTTATCCCTCTATACATGACTTCACCGACGGCAGGATCTCCAATGATCAGTGCACCCGACTAAAGAATAACAAAGCTATCATTAAACTGCATGACTAAAAGAAACATAAGAAATAATAATATATTTTTTATCTAGACGAGGCAATCTTATAGGTTTTTATAAGTCAACGACGTTTTGGACATCTCAAATGCCGTTTTGACGGTTTTTACGAAGCACAATTTAAGCTTTTGCTGATCAATCAATGTATCGTTAATGAAACGAAGCTATAAAGAAAGAAAGCTTGTATATACACCTATTTCAAAAAACGTTGTCTTCACCACGACACAGTCCACAGTCTTAAGCCTGCAACGAATCTCGGGGTTTCCTAGTCTCTTTTAACAGCCGCGACTTCCGGTCTCGTCATATTTGAGGAAATTTGACGAGATCGGAAGTCGCGGCTGTTAAAAGAGACTAATATTCGCTTCGAGACAGAGAGTATTCCAGTTTCGAATTCTCCAATGCTCTGTGTTAGCCTCATTTGTGCGCAATATATTCGTAATTGTGAGAATAAAAGTGTGAGATTTCAAATCAATTCTATTGTCTCTTTTCAAATTCCATGCGTTTTCTCGGGCTATCAATAAAACAAAAGAATATGCTGCTTGGTTTTAAACCAGAACTCTAATTATTTATGGTAAKGCCGAGATTCTTTGCAGTCTCAAGACCGTGGACTGTGTCCTGGCAACGACAACGTTTTTTGAAATAGGTGTATATGTTACGAGGCGCGCTATTCTGAAATTTAGTATGACTTTAAAATATAGCAAAATATTTAGTATGACTTTAAAATATAGCAAAATATTTAGTATGACTTTGAAATATRGAAAAATAAACATTACAAGTGGATTAGTTACGAGTCGACATTCTGAAATTTAATAGGACTTTTAAATATAGCAAAATAAACGTTACAAGTGGATTAGGGAAGGCCAAGGCTAGGTATGGGTGGTCGCGCWTAGAACGAAGATCGGCCATGATCRGGAGTCGCCGTAAGCTCACGCGTCCAACCTTGCCCAGCCTGGCAAATAGCATAAATCGTGAAGAATGACTTAAATAGATGTAAGAAAGTATTTRTAGATATATTTTTATATTGGAGAGCTATATGTGGTACCATCAGCCAKGGRCACATCTCTCACGGGATGCTTCAAAACCAGACAAAACCAACCATTTCCAGAGTGTTCTAATCCCAGGAAAAGAAAGGATTGGCTGCAAATTGGTGTGGGGTAAATTTTAATATCCCATGTAAAACCCAAACACTGTCTGATTGTAGCACATATAAGCCGAACAGATTTGTAGTAAAAGATAGAAGAAGTTAGAAGTTCAAACTGAGATGTTCAAGCAGGTGTGAAGACAGCAGTTATAACAATAAAAGAACCAAAGAACATTAAAACGAATCCACGCTTCCTAACATATAAGCGAGATCATCGAGTAAGATTTTGTGAAGGCAAAACTCATCAATACTAATAGGTGAACCGGAATTATTACTTGTTTCTATCGCATTTMTCGCAGACGGGCTTTGGTAACTTTTCGCAATAACGTAAAGAAATGAATATAAGGAACGCATGGCACTATGATAGACACGATATAGAAATGAGTAATAAATAGAGTAAATATAGCAAGAAAACAGATGCCTGATATGTGAAATTACCGAACATCTGCTATAACTCAAACTTTTCTACGAACAACAACGTCCCAATTAAAGACTTACAGAGATTTAAAGTGAATATATACGATATTACACCAACAAAAAGTACTATACCACGATTTGCAAGATCGTGCTAATTTTAATTTTAATGTTTTGAACAAGACATTAGCATTAAAGGCCTTACCTTGTAGTGACGATCACATGAAGAATCTTGCAGTATTTTCAAWGTCGTCAGAGAAGGAGCCAAGCGAAGGCGTTTGGTTTCAGATAGAAAGTTGCTCGTGCCTGGATCCTGTAGAGCAGCGAATGGTACCATGAACAAAGGGCCATCCGGAATAATGACAATTTCCTCTGTGGTCAGCYTGTCCAGCACTGGGGTAACTAATCGACGAAACAGCATTTGCAATGGCTTGTCATCGTCTTCTTCCATGTAGACACATCTCTCTCGGGAAACTTTGGATGAAGTTCCACTGGCTTTTGAAGCGGTTTCACAGGATGCAGAGTAGTGTAGTGACTCCAACGATCGGTCCTCACATTTCATTTGCACTCTTACATTCATTTGAAGAAAGCTGTTTTCAACAAGATGTTTCAAACCTAAATTTTCAATGCTTGTTTCCTCTTCTTGAAACAGATTGGATATGATTTTTTCCAATTYTTCACTATAACCGAATATTGAATTGGATGGTGAAGATAAAACCCAGCATCGGGTAGCCAGTTTGTTCAAATGAAGATCATAGAAAATAATGCAGGTATTGCCACTGGAAGAAAGTGTCTTGATATCATCTAGATCCAACGCTTTTTGATTTGAAGGAGATTTTTCGGTCGTGTTGTATTTCAAGCTTAAGAGATCTCTTAATGCACGGGCTCGTCCCCTTTCACATACCAGCAAGGCTTTTTCTATCTGTTTAGTCTTYAGTTGAAGATCRCTTAGCAACTTGTAGCTATGTACATAGTTATCAACAAAAGATATCTTCAATTGGTCTTTTTCTTTCAAGTCATCAACCACCTTTTCAAAGCAATCAATGCTCTTTTGGAGATGTTCTTCAGCTTTGTCAAGGTTTTTAACGCTTGATTCAGTCATGTAGAATTGTCCTATGGATACACAATTACATGCATGTCAATCTAGCAGCCAAATCAATCAATCAATCAATGAAAGATTCAAGCAATGATTCAATCAATTATGCTTCAATCAGCAATCAATCAATCAATCAATCGATCTATCTATCTATCAATCTATCAATCTATCAATCTATCAATCAATCAATCAATTAATCAATCTATTAATCAGTCAACCAGTCATTCATTCACACATTATATCTCTTTTTTAAGAAATTCCTTGGAGCCAAAGTCTCGAAACAGCCTCATGACCATGGCAAAACTTGATGAAGGACTTCCGATCCAAGGAATTTTTACTTAAAACTTGGCCAGGATRAATTGAATGGAACCTAAAATTTTCAATTTTCTAATCAAGTTTTTGTGAAAACAATGCATATRTTTTTCAATATGTTAATCACTAATTAACTCAAATGTAATTCAAATATATCATAGTATAGCTATAGGTAAATCGTTAATTCAATAATAATARCTAGGTCAACTTAAAACCGGTTTAGCATTTTGAAATGATGATCCGTCCTTATTAAATGAAACAGTTAGCTAGATTCCATCTCTCTAAAATCTGAGTATCATAATAAATAAAGTTAGTATATTACCAATATTAAAAAGTTGGGAAAATTCACTCTTTCGGTCACCAATCTCTTTTGCAATGCTAAGGCTTTTTTCATGAAAATTAATAGCCTTGTGATGTTCTCCTAGTCCGTTATATCCATGTCCTAAGCTTCCGCAAATGCGTCCTTCTCCCGCTCTATTACCAATCTCTTTTGCAATGCTAAGGCTTTTTTCATGATAATGAATGGCCTTGTGATATTCTAGTATTGCGAGATAAGCATTTCCTAGGCATCCGCAACTGTTTCCTTCTCCCCTTCTGTCGCCATTCTCTATTGCAATGCTATGGCTCTTTTCAAAATATTCAATCGACTTTTGAGATTCTCCTAATGAGTGATAGACAATTCCTAAGCTTAAGTAAATTCTTCCTTCTCTTGCGCTGTCACCAATCTCTTTTGCAATGCTAAGGTTTTTTTCAAGATATTCACTTGCGTTGTGATATTCTCCTAAGAAGCTATAGGCATCTCCTAAGTTATTGTACGCATTTCCTTCCATCTTTTTATCAGCAATGTTTTTAGCGATGCTAATGCTTCTTTTATAATATTCAATTGCCTTGTGATATTCTGATAATGAGGTATAGGCATTTCCTAAGCCATTGTACGCATTTCCTTCTTCCGCTCTGTTACCAATCTCTTTTGCAATGTCACATCTCTTTCCATGATATTCCAWTGCCTTGTGATATTCTCCTAATAAAAGATAGTCATTTCCTAAGCTTCCGTAACTGMYTCCTTCTCCTTCTCTGTTACCTATCTCTTTGTCAATGCTAAGACTTTTTTCATGATAATCAATAGCCTTTTGATATTCTCCTAAAGATTGATAGGCAGTTCCTATGTTTCTGTAATTCCTTGCTTCTGCTGCTCTCTTACCAATCTCTTTTGCAATTTTAAGGCTCTTTTCATGRTAWTYAATCGCCTTGTGATACTCTCCTAATGAGTCATAGGTAATTCCTAAGCTTCCGTAACTGYTTTCTTCTCCCGCTCTRTTTCCAATTTCTTTTGAAATGCTAAGACTTTTTTCATGATGTTCAATTGCTATTTGGTATTCTCCAATTGACCTATAGGCATTTCCTAAGCATATGTAACTTCTTACTTCTCCCGCTCTGTCACCAATATCTTTTKCAATGCTAAKGCTCTTTTCATAATGTTYAATTGACTTGCGATATTTTCCCARWGACTCATAGGCTTCACCTAARAGAGTGTTYGCAGTTTCTTCACTGTTTCTGTCRCCAATATTTTCAGCAATKGCAAGGTACYTTTGATAACATTCAATGGCTTTTYTGTATTCCCCTGATTTGCGATAAGCATCGCCCAACATCCCGCAAACTRTAAAAATATGTACATGTAGGGTACTATAAAAGAAAGTTACCATCACTAAACATTCTTCCAAAAGGCAGATTAGGGAATGATTGCTCAGGTCTGTCAGCCAATCATCTTTCACGCATAAAACACAGAACCAAACGAAGAGCTTGACTTTCTGAATGTCCACCATCGCCGTTAAATTATACAGTTACCTTAATGCAGTATTTAAGTCAGCTTTGAGAATTCTAGAAGAGAAAAGATGTGTTGATTTCAGTGTGGAAAGTTCTTTGATCTTTTTTGTTGTTCTTAACTGCAATTTATCTCATTGTCTCATTATGTCATTGCTATGAACTTTTAAAGTAAGGCTGTCACGGTACGCGCATGCTCGAGTATCGGTCTTTCGTAATTCCAAAGAACCAATAAAAAACGTCTATTTAGCTTTGTCGAAAAAGTGGCGAGTCAAGAAATGCCAAAATTCGATTCCAGAATAATCCGCTTTCCGCTATTTATATTTGATTTTTGGCAAATCCAGCACATTTATCATTTGGCTTGCCGATGGAGAGTCTTGCAAGTACTCCTGAGAGAGTGGTAAGTTTTTATCTTGTGAACTGAATTCTTTTGGAGCCATCTATTGCCGTTAAGAAGTGAATGGAAAATATTTCCTGAATTCTTTTAAAAATATAACGTATACACGAAAAAAAAGATTCCCCTACCATAAACAAATACTTAATTGATTTGAAAACGCAAAAAAGGTGAAATAGATGCCTGCCGTAGATCCAAGATTGGCAACGGATTCAACTTTCAATCTACTCTCTCTTCTTTAGCCGTGCGTCTTTACGGACCGTAAAATTGTCTGATCGCGCGCATGCGTAGTGGCGTGACATCCTCACTTTAATTTTTATTGTAAATTACAACATATAATGGCTACTCTCCAACAACTTGCAAAGTTCTTCATGAAGCCGAGGATGACCTTTCGTCCGCGTTGTAGGGTGTACGTTCTATCGATCGTGATTGGCTGATATAGCATTTSCGCCGACATATTTCTCTGCACACACTGTTCTCAATTTTATTKCCAAGCGCGCGCGTTGAAATATTTTTATTTAACTTTTTTTTAGTTATTAAGAAAAGTGTTCCAATTCTGTACTTTTCTTTGCTAATTGTTTCAGTACCACATTTATTTTTCAAAACTGAAGTATATCCTATAAAACGTATGTTCATACAAAGATTTTATAAAGGAGATTATCAAGAATTCAATATGTCTATATGGTCTGTATTCTAAATATGCCAATTTATAAACCCCTGATGTAAATATCCCAAATTGAAATTACTGAGAAAATCTACCCTGAACTAGGGGATTACTGTCGTCAGAATCTGAAGCAATCGTGCGAATAACAACCCGAAGGGATAATCATCAGTCGATTGAATCATTKTTGCCGTAYTTAGTATTATTTCAAAGGCGAAATCAAAATATCGTTGTCTYAAAATTACAGAAATAATCGTGCATTCARGAAAACTTCAACTTTCACTGCTCCACATGCTTTCTTTTTACTGTCCTTTGTCTGATCTTGAAAATGATTCGAGGTTTATGGAATATTTCCCTTAAATACAAGAAATATGAAAAAGTTCCGCATACAGCTTKAGGGAGTTGCCTTTCAAAACTAAAACCTTAACTTTTTCACTATGACATGACATCAAATCATTCTATTGTTTTATGGCTTAATAAGCTTAATGCTTAAGGAATAAAAAACAGTTTTCCGTGTATTATACTCTGATAAAAACACGCGGGATGTGGGGAGAACACGAGAGAAGCGTAGGAAACCACAATATAGCAGGACCGAGTGACAGGAAGAGAAAGAAAATACACTTTCTTAAATGTCCAGGCTTCGGCTGTGAATAGTGAAGCTTTATTATGCAAAAAAATATATAATTTAAATTATTCTGTAAAATACAACAATTTATCATTTTCGATAACTTGCAGACGAGGAAGCTGATGAAGCAAAGCAAAATCACGCAAAAAAAAATTTTTTGGTTTGAAAAATTGCTGTATCCGCGCCCTTTTTTTATTCGATCCCATCATTGCTTATTTTAAGAACTGAATAAGGTCATATTTGGTAAGTCTGTTAATGTTTAATTTACCTCGAGTTATGTGGTCTTATAGGCTGTGTGAGAGAGTCTGTTATCTGTAAGCACAGTACCACAGAAAGGTCTTCTCTTGATAATGRGTGTGTTTACGTCACAGAACTGATACCATAAAACGTTGGAAATTAAAATAACACACCCTTGCAATCATGTGACACATATACCCTATCTAAATGTTATTCACACTTTCTGTTTGAAGCTCAGTGTTTATATGAATAACCTTAATTTTGAATCAGTAGTTAGTGCTCGATATATTTTGATCGCTTTAGTATTTCTATCTATAACTTGAGAGTTTCATCAGTGTGRCCTTTAAAAGTTTTTGAGTTTATAGAGAAATGTTCTGTAAATTCAAAAGATGAAAAAGTTCCGCATTGAACTTGATKAAGTTCCCTTTCAAAACTAAAACCTAAACTATTTCACTATGACGTGACATCAAATCATTCTATTGTTTTATGGCTTAAGATTGTGATCACAAGATAGGACGGAGTGAAAGGAAGAGAAACTGAATAAAATTACAGTTGGTCAGTCTGTTTATTTTGATTTAACTCGAGTCTTCAGTGTTTATAGGCTTTTGAACGTCTTTGTTTGTCTGTATGCACAGTACCACAAGTAAATTTTGATCTCCTGATGACGATTTAAGTAATGTTTAAAGTCCGACAATGAGGACTGGACGGGGTTTCAAGTCCGCGCAATTAGTTCCAGTCCGAGGCGTTAGCCGAGGACTGGAACTAATTGCAAGGACTTGAAATCCCGTCCAGTCCGAATTGGAGGACTTTGAACGACTTCTCATACTCATTAATTATTCGGGAGGGGAAAAAAGCGAAGGAAATACATATAACAGAAATATATTGATTTATTGCATCTCCACCAAGGTTTTCAGTTTTCATAATTTTGAATAAAGAAGCACCGTTTGTTGTTTTCCAATTCCCGAACGGCTTTCTGAAACAAAAGCTTTTCAAATTGTCTTTGTTTGCTTTTCATGGCATTCCTAATGAGTCTAATTCATAAGTTTTATAAGTATGTTATCTTCCAAGGAATCGCATCAGAAACTCGGTGGTGTAATGGACGGTATAAGACGGCGCATATAGATTGGACGGTTCGGGATCGTTTCGTGAGGGAGTTATTTATCAAAGACCTTTTTTCACTAAATTAATTCTATATTAAGTTGTTTATTTCTAATACTTTGATTATCATTAGCTAGTAGTAGTTAGAAAAAGCTAGAAGTAACTAGAATCAAGGTAAGAGTAACTGGAAATAAGATAGAAGTAACTAGAAACAAGGTGGAAGTAACTGGAAATAAGATAGAATACAAGGTAGGAGTACTTCCTCTGGTATCCAGTTACTGCACGTGGAACAAATTACAATCAGGGATTGGCTAGATACCTCATGAATAATTAATGAGTATGAGAAGTATTTTTAAAACTAATGCCATAAGATGATAAAAATCAAAAGAACGTAACGCACCCTCGCAATGTAGCCTGCTTCATACAACATGTAATTCTTTCTAAATATAGAAGTGATCTTATTTAGTTTGTGATTGGTTAAATAGTTCTCGCGATATGGGGACTTTCCCGATAGTGTATTTCTAAGAATACAGTGAGATTCATCGATAGCATGGAGCATACTGCACTCGATTGATGATGTTTTCGTATTTATAAGTTAGTACTGTTTTCAAGACGTATGCAAAATATTGTTCTCATACTCATTAATTATTCATGAGGTATCTAGCCAATCCCTGATTGTAATTTGTTCCACGTGCAGTAACTGGATACCAGAGGAAGTACTCC